ATATATATATACTAAGATATATAGAAAGTTTCTATACTTCCTACACCCAGTTCGGTACTGCCTTGTTACACTAGCGTGGAAATGCCCACTATTATTATTGACGATCTCACTGTGCGCCTCGCCTCTGAGCTGCAGAATACATTTAATCCCACTTATGCATTTGGCGGTAAGAGCCACGGCGGGTCGTTGGCATTACGCGAAATACCAAGCGGTCATTTACTTCTCCCATATGATGCTGAGGGAAATGTCATCGTCACACCAGGCCGCCGCTATCAACTCGTTCTCATCACAGAACGAAAGGCTACACAGGAGAATATGAACCACACACCACAACAACAGCAACAACAATCAAAACAACAGGAAAAGGAACAACAACAACAACAACAATCAAATCAACAAGAACAACAACAACAACAACAAAGGAATCATGTAAACCCTGAAGCGGAAAAGGAAAGACAGAAGCGGATGAGAGAAAACAATAATAAAGAAGATGAAGCCATCTCAATCATCGCTAATGGTGAGAAAAAGAAGCGAGAACGAAAACAGAAAAATGATGTCTCTGCTCCAATTCCTGAAGAGACATCGCAAACAAAAGATAAACGAGAAAAGAAGGAAACAACAACGACTCGTCATGTTGTAGGTATGAATGACGATAATGTACCACTTTATCAGAGAGTTGGAGAAATACGCTCCAATAACACTACTGAAGATAATAAGAGTCCTCTTCCTTCCACTAATACTAATACTACTAATACTAATCAAACTGCTACTGCTACTGCTACTGCTACTGCTACTAATGCTACTACTCCTATTGTTTCCACTGTGCGTAAACCCTCACCGGATTCTCGCTCTGTTAGTACTGATAACTCTCCAAAGAGTCGTGTGGCCACGAGAGCCCCGTCTAGCTCTTCTTCCTCTTCTGTTGATAATAATAATAATAAGAAGAATACTAATAATCATCGTCAGTACAACAACAATAATAAAAATAATAATAATAATGATAATATCCCATTATCAGCCTCCTATGCAAATCACCACCAGCAGCAACAACAAACACAGACACAGAAAGAAAAGCAACAAAAACAACAACAAGAACATGATTCCACACCTCTTATTGCTGTTGCTGCTGCGGGTAGTCAAGTGCAGAAACCATCGACTCGCCGTCAGACTAAACCCCCGCGTCGTGCGCCAATAGCAACTCCCACTACGAGTGATTCAGATTAATTCATGTAGTTTTTAAAGCGAGAAAGAAATCAAGAAGACATGAGAGTATTTTTCTCCGCATAAAAAATCGTTGTAAGAAAAAAGAAGAGAGAAAAGAAGAAAAAAAAAGAAAAAAAAAAGGTCAAACAGATAGTAAGATTGGGCTCCAGAAAAAAAAAAAAAGAGAAAAAGAGAAAAAGAGAAGGAATGTAAAGAAAAATGGAGTATGAGAGTTGTCTGGTGAGAGATTATATACTTCACTACTACTGCTCTCTTTTTTCTTTCTTTTTTTACTTCTTTTTCTTTGAATTTTTTCACAAACTCTGCTTTGTAACCTCATGCGAGGCTGCAATCCCCTCGGCACCTTGAGGTGTTGCGGGTGCTAACCTTGTATTTCTATATTAGCATCGATAAAAGAATAAATGAATAATAGCTGATGTTGAATTGACAATTTTTTTTTTCTTTTATGATGATTATTATTATTGATGATTATTATTATTATTGTTTCTTTGGTAAATGGAATGTTTATGAAAATAATATTTTTTTTTTGTTTCGTTTGTTTTATTATTCTTTGTTCTTTTCTTGTTTTTTTTTTTTTATTATTATTATTATTGACTCTAATATCCCCCCTAGTAGAAGAGAAAGGGATCTCCAGTAAGGGGAGAAACTGCTTTCTTCTTAAGAGTGAAAGAGAAAAACAGAATACAAAGAAAAAGAAAAAAAAAACGGTTTTGCATTTCCACAGGAATATCAGGTGTTGCTTGGGCGAAAAAAAAAAAAAAAAAAAGCAAAACTGTAAGACGAGGAAACTTTAAGTATTCCTTACAATATAGCGAATTCATTTATATATTTATTTATTTATTTATATATATATATATATATATATATATATATAAAACAAAGGTGTAGGCATCATGGCTCAGAATATGCGGGATCTGTCTGTGCTGCAAGAGGAGGTGAATAAGTTGGATGATCGCTACGTATTGGAAAAAGTTATTGGAGCCGGTTCTTATGGAATGGTTATCCGTGCAAGAGATACCTTAAATAATTCTGAATTGGTGGCAATCAAGCGTGTTAATAAAGAAATTTTTGATGAAATGATTCTTGCTAAACGAATTCTACGCGAGATAAAATTATTGGCTCATTTTAATGATGAGAATATTATTGGTCTTCGAAATATTCTCACACCACTCGAAAATGAATCTTTTGAGTATTTCTATATTGTTATGGAAATTATGGAAACTGATCTAAAACAGGTTTTACGAACAGGTCAGGTTCTAACAGAAGCGCATATACAATTTTTTATCTATCAAATATTACATGCTCTTAAAGTAATTCATTCTGCTGGTGTCATTCACCGTGATATTACCCCTGCCAATATTCTAGTAAATCAAAACTGCGATTTAAAAATATGCGATTTTGGTCTTGCCAAAGAGGAGAATGATCAAGGAGAGTATATGACTGATTATGTTACTATGCGTTGGTATCGTGCGCCAGAGTTGGTGATGGAAGATCGTAATTACTCTGCGCAAATTGATGTTTGGGGTGTGGGAAGTATTCTCGGTGAATTACTCGGTTCTCGACCACTTTTCCAAGGTAAAGACCGTGTAAATCAACTGGATAAGATTATTGAAGTCATTGGCACACCATCCGATGAGGATATCAGTGCAGTGGGTTCACAAGCCGCACAGAAGTATTTAAAGAAGAAATCCTATCGTCCACCACCAGATTGGCGTACTAGATATCCCAACGCATCAGAGAATGCACTTGATCTTCTTAAGCGAATGCTTGTCTTTCATCCAGATAAGCGTATTACCGTAGATGATGCCCTTCGACACCCCTTCTTGGAGGATTTATATGATGAACGGGATGAACATTTAAATGTGCCACTCTTCAGTTTTGATGAACAAGAACAGCGAACAGTGCAAGATGTAAGGCGTGCGGTGTATGAAGAAAGTGTAAAGTTTCATAAAGAACATCCAGAGACAGCTCCACGTTCAAATAAACGACCAGAACAAAAATCCCAACAAAGTAATAATAGTGGTTCTGGACTTCCATCAATGGATGTCACCGGTGAGGGCCGTTCAGCACAGCAGACTATTGAAAAGGATGAATCCAAGGAGGCGAGTAATGGTCGATTTGACGCTTTGGTAGATACTCCAGACTCTCGGTAGTGACAACGAAGAGGAAAAAATAAAAGAAAAGAAAAAAAAGAAAAGAAAAGAAATACGTAGAAAAGAAGGAGAAAAGGAGAAAAAAAAAATAGAATGAAAAAGGAGCAAGGGGGAAAGGAATGATATATGAAGGGAAAATAAAGAAGAGAAAAAGGAGGAATCTGAGGTAAGAGATAAAAATAAAAAGATATTTGTGCTCTGATGAAAACAAAGAGAAATCTCAAGGAAGTATTAACATGGTGAGAGTTTTCCCTTCTATCGTCACACGTATAAAGTATATATATATATATATATATATATATATATAT